GCAAGCGCAACGTTCGACAACGGCATTGTCATACGACAAGTGGCTAAGTTATGCACAAGTCCTCGCCACGGTCTCCAACCCTCACCATTTCTCGTCGGGCTTGTGTCAGATTTTTCGTCCAAGTTCCAACTATATTTTCTTCATCGTTCTCATCGTTGCGTTTCGCTCTCCAATTATTATTGAAGCATGTTCATGAAGAGGAATGCTTTCATAAACTGTTCCTGTGGCTTCGTGTAAAATTCGTCGCTGCCAAAATGCTTAACGTGACATTAGAAAGCAAAGTGTCACGTATGGATGTAAAGTCGCCAAACGAGAATTTACATTTCCTATCGCTGCAGCTTCGTTATGTACGACGATTCAGCATTTACCGTGACTTTTCAACGCTGCACTAAATCGCGCAAAAACCTGTGCATTCCTGTCAAAAGAATGTTAATGAAGTTTGGCTTATGAAATCGGCATGACATTAGACTTGCATTCAATCGCGGAACATCGGTTGCTTGCAAGAGGGCTCTACTCATATTAGACAATTCTGTCAAGGAAAGGGTTTGGTCAGTGCTCGGTCGGAGGTGAAATGACAACTAATTGGAGCTGATCAACGAGAGCGGTGATCATGTCTCTCTGTGAGCTGTTCTTGTTCAAGAGTTGTGGGTACAGAATCATGTCGCTGACGCCGTTGTCAGCATTCTAAAATGCTGTTTGTTCAAAGTGAATGCTCTCTGTGCTGATACTAGCTGTAGCTGCTTAAGCGAATAAACTTTGACGGATTGATTGAAATCATGACCTGTGTTGTGAATTCTAATTTTCAGGTGATAACGCCTTCTTAGTGAACATGATTACAGAAAATTGTTTCTTTGAAAAAACAGATCGTACAAAGCCAACGGAAGAAAAAATACCGTTGTGCCTTATCGTGACATTTCAAACAGTGTTTTGCGAATCCACCATATCCGGTTTTAGATAAACGCCTATTGATGCAGTGAGGCTAAAAACCAACGTTTTTTATGTAGCGCTGAAAAATGAGTACTAGCTCAAGAAACGTCATTCAGCGATGAGCAAGGAATTACACGAGCCGAAACATGATGCGTTCATGTGCCATGGAGCTACGGCAACAGTGGTTTAAAAACAATAAGTTCTCTGAGTGCTACAGTGAAAATGTACGGTATGTGTAACAACACTGCACCGTTACTGTGCATTTGCCCACTGCAGGTGCTCAAGCATCGTGATCTTTAAAACGTCATCATTTGCGGAAGTATTCTCGAACAGCGGCTAGGAGCGTCACAGAAGTCCAACGTCAAAACTGGAAGAGATCTTGCGACACCTTCTGCGCTACGGCTGTTCAATCAATTAATCAGTGGAACGGAGATACGGTTGTACGATGGCCCAGATTTTGACTCTCGACTCCACACTTGAACAGTTGGCCTGGTAACGCGAAAGATCCACAATCACATATTATTACAGTCTGCAAACGGCCTTGAGGAGCGATCACAAAAAAACACGAACCGTCCTGTAGCGTTCAGGAGTGAGTACAGACTATTGTAGGACGCTGTACGAGTCGCATGGTGAAAAACCGGACCTAGTCTATTGAATCCTAATCCTTCATTCTGTATGGGGAGCAGTGGCGTAGTGCAGTGAATAACCAGTTTAGCATTGATTTGTTATTTTAGTGGCGCCAACTCGAATTGCGGCGTGGTATGAATTTTTCTTATTTGCTGCTAATTTCTCTAAGCAAAGAAGCATTGAACCGTGTTTCACTGCAATTGGCTGAGGTACGAATATAAAGGTGATGATCTGTTAACACTAGCGACAGCATGGCATTATGGTATGGTAACTGTGGAACGTGAGTTACGACAATCCTATCTCTCTGCGCCATGTGGCTGTCTTTTGCTTCGAAATACCTGAGAGTTTTTTAATCAGCACAAGTACAGTACAGCACACTGCATAGCGTGACTGATTATCATCTGACAGTCAGTCAAATGTGGCAGTCAATGAAACTTGGTTACTGTAAACTGAATCATTTAATCGTTTAGATCGGACTTGCTACGTAACCAAACGTTGGTGAGAAAACGGGTACCGTCACCGGCCACTTGAGTGAACCCATCATAGAAACAAATGATTAAATCGGCGTCATTTGTCAACAAATTTACACTGAATGTACATGTCTTAGTTTCGACGATTTACGCTGTTGACCTAAGTACAACTGACACGCGCCGATTCTACAAAGCACGTGACTTCTACAAGTCATTTTAAACCGGGCAATACACAACGTCTCTGACCCTCTTGCCTTTAGACTCCCTGGGAATGTCTACGCAGGAAAGGATATCATGGCATTTGAGCACGTGCGGTACGTGGATGCGCAAAAGTATCATGGTGCTGGCTAAGATACCAACAGGAGTACTGCTCCACGAGAAAGCATATGGTGTTTCAGGTATGAGATTAGTCTCACGCCAGTACTGTCGCAGACAAGATCATACAAGTCACTGCACCTGGTAGGACGAACAGAGTCGCGCCCAGTTGCTTCTAGAGTGCATGACTTACGGTCGTGACGACAAATGCATGCGGCGTACGGTTACGCTTCGCCGCGAACTGCTAGTTCTTACTACGGCTGTCACCATCACCTGTTCAGCCAACTCCAGTGACGTCCGGAATCGCTGCTTACTCTGTTTCCACCTGGGGATCATGTGCCATATCCGTCAACAAGTTCAGCCAGTCATTCCCCACCCCCCCCCGTTTGTGCCTATACGCTGCCGGCCGAGAAAGGGCCTCAACGTCGGCTGTGACAGTGCTTCACTTCTTTTTAACGTGTTCACCTTTTTCTCCGGCGTCAACCAGGGAACGTGGTACATTTAATTGTAACGAAGGTGATATCGTCTGGTGGACATCTAAACACGTCCTCGACCAACGCAGTCGCATTCTTTCAGGACCATCAAGCTGGGCGATGATAAACAGTTATTCTGGAGCTATTGCTGAGTAACCACGGGTCCCCAAACAAGCTGGTAGTCTCTTCTGAACGAAAGGCATCATGCCGGATGCCGAGTTAGTAAGTCGGAGGGACTGCTCGTAGGCAAAGCGCTACAATGGAGAAATTGGTAGAACGCTCAAAAACCGAATCATTGAACACATGGTTTGTCTCGGCTGAGCAGAAGATGACTCTGCGGTTGGAGAAAACAGCATACCAAAGCGGAATGC